TCGGCACGTAGGCTTCGGCCGGACTCACTTCTGTAAACAGCCAGTTGAGGGGTTTGCTCTTCACAGCCTGCCTTGGCGCCCTCTGAATTTCAGGCCTTGCAGGATCACACCAGGTGGGCCAGTCCGGCCGGAAGCCCTTAACTCCCATACTTTCGATCTTCACGCCCCGCTGTGTGGAGCCCCGAGTGTGGCAGGGGTGGGTGCCGGGAGTGCCAGGGAGGCAGGAAGGAGCCTTGCCCAGCTGCAGAGCTGAATGGCGCCTGAAACCCGAGTGGTCAGGGGTGTGGAGGATGTGGTGGTGGGTTTCACTTTCCCGTGTCCCTGAGTAAAGGCTGGTGGAAGAAAGGACGAGGCTGAAAAGGCTGTCACCACGATGACCAGCGGTCCCTCCCCTTATCTCATGAGCCTCAGCTTCCTGTCCTGCTGGCCTGGCCGCGTGGCTGGCACGATAACACAGAACCCTTCCATCCTCCCGTGAGTGGCAGATTTGGGGTCACCCTGCCCATCTGTCTCTCCCTGATAGGAGCCTCGCTCCTCCACGGCTGGGTGCCCCGTGGTGGAAGTCCAGAACATGACACCCTTTCTTTTATTTGCTGTTCTGTGTCTGCCCCCACACCCATCGCATCTGTGATTCTCGCCTAGCTGTGACCTACACTGTGTTGAGAGAGTGCTCGCCTCAGGGCAAGGATTGTTCTAAACAGGCGTGGTGGCCCACACCTGGAATCCTGGCCCTCGAGAGGCTGAGGCAGGAGGATCGATTTGAGTTTGTGTCCCACTGGCTACACAGTGAGTTCAAGGCTGACCTGAACTGCATAGTTAGACCCTGTCCCTTTCCCCCCAAAACCAAAGAGGAATTGTTCTAAGACCCATACATGTGTTAATGCTTTAATTCTCTTCAAATGGCACAGTGTAGATAACACTACCTTGCTATCTCTGTTCGATTGAGGATAAAAACTGGGATCCGAGAGGCTGAGTAATGTATCCACCATACACAGCCGGGGACTCACGACTCCGCGCTTGCCTCACGGCTGAACGGCTGTTGCGGCCGTGGCGGGAGCCGCATGGTGATCTGTACCTCTCTGCCTGGGCCGCTAGTCCGATCCGTGCCAGGGCCACAGCTATGGAAGCCTGCTCTCGTCTGCAACCCTGACATCGCAGGCTCCCAGGTGAGGAGTGGCTGGGTCCAGAGTCCCGTGGGGACCCTGGGCGGGGGCCTGAGGGAGCCCCTTCCTCTGGGACGCGTCCTCTGGCAGTGTGTCGGGCGCTGCGACTGTTTCTGATGTCATGAGACACCGCAGCCTACTCGTGGAACACGCTGTGTCCCGGGGAGGGCACGAGGGCCTGGGGAGGGCCGGTGAGAAGAGGTCCTGTGCTTTCGTCCCGGCACCCGCCGCCTGGTCTCCACACATTCCAGGACTGTCCCATTCGCCGGCACCACGAAGCAGACCCTGTCGCTCCCCCTGTGGCACAGGACAAAAGTGAGGCACAGAGGAGCGACACGCTTTCCCAGACCTGGGGCTCATCAGGGGTCAGGGCCGCAGTGCCTTCCAGGACAGAGGTCACATGCGGAGCTTCACAGCCTCGCCCGGATGTGTGCTGGGGACACGAGGACGCCCCATCTGGTCACCCCCTCATCCCCACCTCGGTGAGGCTCGGGCAGAGTACAAAGACACCTGGCTGAAGCCGTTTGGTACACACCTGGGATGTGAGGAGTTGCGGAGGTGACAGACTCAGCGTGACGTCTGAGGTCCCGGGAGGAGGCCCTGGGGAGGTCTTGGGGACCTGGGGTCTCCTCGGCCCTCAGCTCGAGGTCCAGCTCAGTTCCACATCTTTGCCGTCCTCACTGGACCTCGTGGCTCTCATTTGGCCACCTGTCCCTGCTGGTGGCCTGCCCACTGCAGAGGCCACAGGCCTGAGGCCCAGCTCCCAGCTGGCCGCCAGGGCGTCTGAAGGCTGGTGTGGGACTCAGTAGAACATCAGCTTTCTTTGCGGAAGGAACAGGGAGGTAGGAAGGGAACCGAGAGAAGGAGAAAGGGAGAGAGGACACAGAAAGGATGAAGTTGCACGTATGTAGTTGTGAATCTCCAAGGAAGCACAGCTCAACAACAAAACAAATAAAAAAGTGGGCAAAGTTTGGAATAGTCAGTTCTCCGGAGAAGACATACAGACGGCCATCAGCACATAAAAGACTTTCACCGGCAGTAGCCGTTAGGGACATGAAATTCAGACTATGACACCGGGATAGCTGCTACTGAACAATGGAAAACAACCAACTGAGGTGTGGGGAGGAAGCTTTGTGCGTTGCCTGTGGGAATGGAAACTGGTGTAGCTGCTGTGGAAAACAGTTTGGCTGCTTCTCAAAAAGCTAAAATGGCCGAGCGTGGTGGTGCATGCCTGTAAAGCCAGAACTCAGCAGGCTGAGGCAGGAGGATCACCACAAATTAAAGGCCAGCCTGGGCTACACAGCAAGACCCTGTCTCAAACAAGCAAACTGACAAAGGGCTGATAAATTTTGCTGTGTACACATCATTACAATTCTTTGTAAGAAGTCAAGCAAGGCCATGTCCAGTCAGCACACTACTCTGGGAGGCACAGCCCTGACTGGCCCTCCGAGTGGCACTGAACTGCAGTTCCTCGGCTCCACGGAGCCTCCTGGGGCGGCTGGCTGTGTGTGCCCGGCTGCCCTGCTCCCGCCTGGGCAGTGTCCCTGAGTTGTGTGGCTGAGGAGCGCAGCGGGCCGGGCTCCCCTGAGAGCTCCTTGGATTATAGCCCGGGCTCCTCCAAGTACTCGGGGATGAAAACAAAGGCTCTGCTGGCTCCAGTTTAAGCTGCAATCGTTATTTGGTCAGGGACAGCGCCAATCGTGTTTAAATGGCATTGTTATTTAGAAAGGGATGGAGCCAAGTTCACGGACTTCTGGAAAGCAGGCCTCAGCTCAGGGAGCCTTAGCGACTGTTCTGTGGGGCTGGTCCGTCCTTGTTACCCTGGGGGCATAGTGGGGTGTGGAAGCGGGGGACAAGGTCCGTGTTCAGGGGTGGAGACCATCATGGCGGGCGATGAGGAGGTGAGACTGTACTTGTCCACTGGGCCCAGTTTGGGGCCGCACAGCGGGTGACCTGGGGTCTCCATGTGGGGAAGGCGGCGGTGGCCAGACCCTGGGCCCAGTCCCTGTACTATGAAAAGTAAAAATAAAAAACATCGAGGTTTGGTCCGTTTTTGTGGTGAGTTGCCGAATGCCTACCACTTCGTGGTGCTTGGTGATGACGCCGAGTCTGTGTAGTGATTTTCTCTGTCAGACTGGTGGCGGGCTCAGGACAACTTCCATCTTCCCCTGGCACAACCTTTCAGACTCCACAGGAAGTAGGAGGATATCTGAAATTTGGACACATTAAATATCATGGGTTTAGCCTGGCGTGATGGCGCACACCTGTAATCCCAGCACTCGGGAGGCTGAGGCAGGATGATCTCTGTGAGTTCGAGACCACCCTGAGCTACATAGTTCCAGGTAAGTATCAACTACATAGTGAGACCCTGTCTCAAAAATAAATAAATTCTGATAATGAGATAAGTTTATTTTGTTGTCCCCACATGTTCTGTTATAGGTTGGCATGGTAAGACACCGCCAAATCGGCAGCTCTCCTGTGGCCCTGCGCATCCCCTACTCCCCTCCTCAGCCCCAGGACTGCAAGTCCCCAGACGGCCCCCGCTCCGCGGTTTTCCAAAGGCGCTCACGCAGGGAGTGGGCCTGGTGTGGCTCTCAGCTGTGCCGAATGCCACAGTGGTGAGGGAATTGTTTGTCTCGGGCCAGGAGATGCCAATGCCGTGACAGGCCGTGTGCAGGCTGCTGCTGGTGCAGTCGGGGCTGTGCTTCCTGACATTCACGCAGGCCCGTTTGCTGCTGGCGTGAGCAGAGCCTCCCGGCGTTCCTTCCTCAGGGTGGTGTGTAACAATGCCAAGTGCTTGAAATCATCCGCCAGGAATCTCAGCAACCAGCCCAGAGCTCTGCGGGCACATCCGGCCCACAGGAAGGTCCTAACCTGCTCGCCCTTAGAGCCCACGGACTCCCCGAAAGCAGAAAGCACACCGGAGTGCCATGGTTTCCACCCTGTGTCCACTGAACCCTGCTATGGCCAGTGGGTGCCCGAGATGTCGGAGACAGCTGATCCCCCAGGACCTCCGTCTGCCAGGGGTGACGTAGATGCTGAAGCAGCAGCAGGCGCCCCAAGTGCTAGAGCGCGAGGCAGGGACAGGAGGAGCAGGGAGTAGCAGGGCCAGCGCTGAGCCCTGGGGTAGGATGGGGAACCCGCCTGGCCGGGAAGGAAGGGTAGGACACCAGGGAGCGGGCTCCACATCCAGGGAGGTGGAGGCACAGCCCACATGGTTCCTCAGAGCACAGCTGAGGCAGGAGGGTGCACCTGAGTAGGCACCGACACAGGCCCTGTTTGTTGTGTGGACGGACTGGATTAATCCTGCAAACCAGCAGTTCATCCAGCCTCAAGGGCTCACCGACCTTTATTTAACTTGGGGTGGGCCTCATCCTTATACATGAGTGGTTTTTCCCTCCTCGGAGCCCTGGGGATTGAATGCTAGGCAAGCACTCTACCACTACATTACATCCCCAGCCTTTTCTGCTTTGCATTTTGCGACAGGGTCTCACCCAGGCTGACCTTGAACTTGCAATCTTCCTGCCTCAGCCTCCCAAGTAGCACTATAGGCCTGCAGCAGGAGGCCTGGCTAAGGTTGAACTGTGAAGGTTAGTGAGCTAGCGTATGCAGAGGGCTTTGCATGGCACCTGGTGAACAGCAAGTACGCCTCGCTGCTGGTTCTCATCCTTTTGGGTTCAGCCTCCTTTGAGAGCAGGTAAATATTCTCCTCAGATGCAAGGTTTTGTGTACAATGCAATAGGGCTCACCGTTTCTTTTCTTTCTTTCTTTTTTTTGAGACAGGGTCTCACTGCATAGTCTCGACTGGCCTTGAACTTACTGTATGGCCCAGGATGGCCTCAAACTTGCAGTCATCTTCCTGCCTCAGCTTCCTGAGAGCTGGGCATATAGGTATGCACCGACATGCTCGGCCTCACCTATTTGCTGAAACGATTCCAAGTTAAGAATCCTGCCATGAGACACAGGTACTTATCTGAAGCCATTTAAGACACTTATTTCAGATTCACTGCAAAATCAAGGAAGATGCAGAGACTCCCACCAAACCTACTGTCCTCACACACCAGCAGCATCTACCGCTATTGACATGTGCCAATGTGTCGCCCCCGGAGGGATGTCAACAGAGTACGTCCCAGCCCCACAGAGCCCTGGGTGCTCATCTGAAGTTTAAAATCAGGAGAGTCTGACATCGGATTAAACTTTTTTTTTCTGAAGAGAAATAGCAGAAATGGAGAAGGAAATCATCATTGGTTCTTGGACTGGGCTGTACATTATGAAAGCATCTGTAGAGATTTTTAGAGACATCAGTGCCCCGCCTTCTGGTTTAATGAACCTGGAGGGGGCTGGGCATTAGGACTTCTAGAATGTTCTAGGTGAGTCTGTGCTGAGGTGTCACTCAGCGGGAAGCGCTTGCCTGGCACACACAAGGTCCTGAGGTCACCAGGGGAGGCCAGAGACGACACAGGAAGGCCGGTCAGGATACCCCGAGGGTGGGCCTGGTGTGACCACGGTGTGATGGCCATGAGGCGAGCCACATTGCAGGGGGTCACCGAGGAAGAAAGCGAGGAAGCAGGCGAGCGTCTGGGGAGCTCGGGGTGAAGGTAGTGAAGCGGCGGTGGGGAGGGGGCCCAGGCCTTTTTGCTGGAAGGGCATCGCTGTCGTCTGGTCTGCCTGAGGGAAGGGAGCGGGGCCAGAGCAGCTGTGGGGAGCAGAGCAGGGAGGAACTGTCCAGAGCTTTGCAGAGGCCGCTGGAGCTGCTCGGACTAGCACGGGCTGCTTGCTTCTCTGAGCCGCAGGTGAAGACGTTTCTGGAAGGGTGCAGGCCTCCTCTCTGAGAAGGGGGGATTCCAGTCCCACCCAGGATCCCCCTTTCCAGGCCCAGCTCCTGGAACTCAGCCTAATGCTCCTGCCCTCGAATGCGGCTACCGCTCCCGGACTGGAGGCAGCAGGACCTGAGGGCCCCACCTGGTCACCGTCGCAGTCCTGAGGCACTGCTCTGAGTCCCTGCTGTTCGTGGAGCCCTAGGCACAGCTGGGAAAGAGCGGCTGTGGGGACGGGGCCAGCCGGGACAGCTGCGCTACCTTTCCCTGCAGGGGCGCCTCCTCTGCTGCCCCAGAGCTCACAGCGGCCCTGGCTTCTGGCTACATCACCGTTGGTCAGGGTTCCTGGAGGAACAGAAATGGGTAGGAGGTGAGTGCAGAATCGGGCACGGGTTTGTCACGCAGGCGGGAGAGCCCGCAGTGGGTGCCTTCGTGCTCAGCTGCAGAAGCCGAAGAGCAGGAGGGCAAGGGACACGGCACCAGTTCAAAGGCCTGGACACTCCCGGTGGACCCCAGGGTGGGTCTGTGGGTCTGTGAGGGAGGCTGAAGACACTGGAGACCGGTGTCCCGAGGCCATGGCCGCAAGAGGTGCGCCTGGCAGGAAGACAAATCCGCCAGCTTCCCTTTCCCTTTCTTGTTCCACCCAGGCCACCGCAGCGAGGCCCGCGTGTCGCTCACCCACAGACGACTGCAGACTGTGCTGCTAGCACAGCTCATCTGCCAGGTGTCTCTGAACCCCTGGTCCCCCGAGTGCCATCCATCAGGAAATCCTTGACTCTTGTCTCCAGAAGCAGCCGGAACTGATCTGCTTCCTGCCTCGAGTTGGGCCAAATGTGCTCACAGTGGGGTTTGCAGAGGAGCCTCACGTCACGGGGTGAGGGGTCATCTGTAATGCCAAGTTCTGGGGTCCCCTTCAGGCTCAGGGACTTGGGCGTGGGCCCCGCGCTCTGGTGCCTGCTGACGTCTGAGAAGGGCCACTCTGCTGCAGGCCCGCATGGGCTCTGGTGCAAACTGCCTCGATGTCCCCCACTGTCCCCCACATACTGACCTGTCCTCTGTCACACACTCCTAGTGGCATGAATGATGTTTTCAGAGACAGCCCCGATTCTGTCGCAGGAAGCCTGCCCTGGTCTCCAGCAGGACCTGTCCATCGGCCTCAGCAGAGCCTCCCTGTCTACGCCAGCTCCGGGGAAGGGCGTATTCCGTTCGTAGATGCCAGCTGGTCCCCAACATGGGACGTTGGCCCTGGCTGCTCCCTGCACCTTCAGGTGCTCAGGCTGTGACCTCAGGACCTGCTTTGTACTTACTTGATGTAACTGGCAACTTCCTCGGGGAAACCTCGGCCGGTTCATGAGCCACAGGAGCCCTCCTTACCGAACTCCAGCATGTAACCCTCAGCAGAGCACCTGATGACCATGATGTTTCATTTTTATTTATTTATTTGTTTGTTTGTTTATTTATTTATTTATTTTGCTATTGGGGATCAAACTCAGGAACCTTGTGTTTGCAAGGCAGGCAGCGACACAACTGAGCTCCATCCTGGCCTCCTCTTTATTTCTTGTCTCAGGCAATGTGGGTTTTACAAGACATGGACCGGGTTTATCTTGGTGCCCTGCACCTGGCATACAGTAGGTGTTCAGTGTGTATTTGCTGCACGCACACAGGAAGGGATGGAGGGATGGACTCACCTCATCCTCACTTGTGGCTCTAAGTTGTCACCCTGAACCGGTGACCCCTCACACAGTTGAGTTTTGGGGGCCTCCAGTCTGTGAGCTGTGGGGTCCCCTGTGACCACGGTGCCAAAGGAGGTGGGAATGCAGGAGGGTATGAGGCTACTCCAGGCGTTTCATGATGGTGTCACGGGAGAAGCAGGGCAGCCGCGAAGCTCGCAGTCTGCGCCTCCAGGACCTGACCTGGTCTCCCTGAGCCACGGCTCCGCGGTCACGTGATCCTTTGCCCTGGGCGTCCTCGGCGGCTGCCTGGACTCTCCTTTCAGCTTTAGTGGGTTTGAGTCGTGTTTCTGTCACCTCCTGTGCAGAGACGTGTGAGGATCACTCTGAGGAGCTCAGCGGTTGTGAACCTCACCCTGGACACCAGCCTTGTGAACTCCAGGGGTCGAGGCCGGCCACCCTCCACAGAGTGACAGAGTGTGGGGCCCAAGGACATAGTTACCAGCTAAGTGGCCTCAGGGACATCTCTGGGACCCTCCATCAGCTCCTCTCTGTCCAGTGTATGAAATGCTGAGAGCAAGGAGCATGAGTCGGGATTAGACAGTTACATCCCGGGGCAGCAGCTGCTGCGAGGCCCAGCTCAGCAAGTCCAGCCTCATGACCTCCTTCCTCCCTCTCCGTCAGCGTCACCCATGGCCTGGTCTTGGGGTGCAATACGCACTAGCCATCCATGGCCTCACATTTCTTTTCACAGCAATCCTCCTGCCTCAGCCTCCAGAGTGCTGGGATTACAGGTGTGCGCCACCACGCCTGGCTGAGATTGGTATTTAGACTGGTATCTGAGAAGAAACACGTACAATGGTTTTGGTTTCTTTCCTTCAAAATACACAGTGATAGGATAACTTTGTCTGACACCAGGCAGCAGCCACTGATTATCTTGAAGTCCCCACAGTTTGCTTTTTTTTTTTTGCAAGATCAAACTCAGGACCTTGTGCTTGAGAGGCAGGCAGGGACACCACTGAACTAAATCCCTGGCCCTGCATTATTTTTATTACATTTTCTAAAGCTCACTTCCAAACATTTCAAATACACAAAATAAGTCCCCCTCTGAGGCCGTGGCTGTTGCTGGGTGCTGGACGCCAGGCTGTCACCTGTGCTCCTCCTCACACCCTCCAGGAAGTGCTAGGCGCACAGAGGGGCCCTGTGCTCTGCCGACACATCCAGCTGGGCTTGGGGGAGTGTGCATGTGGCCGGGCACTCACTGAGCACGGCTTACGGTCCCTGGAGCTTCACAGAGGACACCGGTGGAGGACAGCACTGTGGAACTCTCACAGTCGAGGTGGAGGGCTGCCTTTGCCTGGGACTGGCGAGACACCAGAAGAATCTGAACACCAGGCGAGCATTCGGTCCTTCTCCCTGCAGGATGGAGATCACCCCAGCCAATGTTAAGACCCCCAGCCGGAAGTCAGCGGCTGCCTGGCCCTCGGTGTGCATCCAGAGTCCCCTGAAGATGTCAGGGTGCTGTGCACGCTGGCCGGTTTTGCAGTGTGTGGAGCCAAATGAACTCTGTGCTGGGTTCATCTCAGTGGTAGAGTGCTTGCTTCACATGTGAGGGCTCAGGTTTCATCTCCAGCACCAATCAATCAATCAATCAATCAAATGAACTCTATGCAAAATAGTCACCAGTTAATTTAAGCTACTTATGTTCATTCAAAAAATTTGTTGAATCTCTCCCTTTTTTTTTTTTTTTGGCTTATAAAGGGCCTTCCTATGTAGCTCTTGCTGGCCTTGAACTCATGGTGGACCTCCTGCCTCAGCCTCCTGAGTGCTGGGATCACAGGCATGCACTACCACACTGAGCAGGATTCATAATTTGATAGCATCCCTGCGGGGTGGTGGAAAGTTAGGGGGTGCAATCTATTAAAGGAAGTGGATCAGGGGTTCCTGCCCTTAAGGATGTTTTGTTCCTGGCGCTTTTCATCTGGCTCTCTGCACTGCCTCCTATTGCCATGAGGTAAGCCACTACCTTTTGCCACGCTGTTCCACTACGATGTTTCTGCCTGGCCACAGGCTTAAAGCAAAGGACCCAGCTGACCAAGAACTGCACTCTCTGAAATTGTGAGGCAAAAGAAACCTTTCCTTTTTTGTGCTGATTTTTTTTTGTGGGGCTAGTGGGAATCAAACTCAGGGCCTCAAGCTTGCCAGGCAGGTGCCGCACCACTGAGCTACACCCCCAGCTTCATGTTGATTTTATCAGGCATTTAGCCACAGGGACAGCTGACTGATAGTCTCACTGGGAAAGCCCTCTGGGGTTCAGTTCAATCCCTTCTTTGTGTGGACCACTAAACATGGCTGCCTTTCTCTGGGATCTGTGGTCCTAGGTGTGGGAAATTCAAAACCTCCCTAGCTGGGCATGGTGCCACACCCCTGCAATTCCAGCACTTGGGAGGCTGAGGCTGGAGAATCACCATGAGTTGGAGTCCAGCCTCGGCTACATAGTGAATTCAAGGCCAGCCTGAACTACATAGCAAGACTTTCCCTCGAAAATTAATCAATTAATTAACTTCTTAAAATATCATGCCAGGGATTTAGCTCAGTTGCACCACACCTGCCTCATATGTGCAAGGTTGTGAGTTTGATCCTCAGTACAAAAAAAACAAAAAACAAAAAAAAAACTACCACCGGGTGTGGTGGTGCACGCTTGTAATCCCAGCACTCGGGAGGCTGAGGCAGGAGGATTGCTGTGAGTTTGAGACCAGCCTGGGCTACACAGTGAGTTCCAGGTCAGTCTCAACTACATAGTGAGACCCTGTCTCAAAAAACAAAAACAAACAAACAAACAAACTCCCTAGTTTGTATGTAGACAAAGTTCATTCTCAAAATTCGGCAGCCTTTTTGTCAATACTACCTAGTCACGAGCCTTGGTTATAGTGACAGGCTGCAAGATGCTAGAATTTGAGACATTTCTTCTGCATCAATACACATTTTCCTCAGTCTGAGCTAACAAGAGATGTCCTGTCATCTTCTTGGCTGGAACCCATGTGAACAGCAGTGACTAGGCAGGAGTTTCACAGTCACACACCCTGCAGGAAGTAGGGACTTCTGGTTTAGAGCAGTTCCGGGTACTTTAAGTACCTAGAAGAGTATCCTCCATTGCTTAGAAGTCCCTAGACCCACGGGTACTTCCTGTTTAGTGCCACTTGTGGTTTCCCCTGAGGCTGGCATCCCTCTCGAGCCTGCCCAGCCCTCACCTGTATGCTCTTCTCGAGCTGCTACCTGAGGTCAGGAATATTTTGCTCAGCTCACCAGGCAGGGGTGGGTAAGCAGAAGGTAAAGATGATGCAGGTGAGGGCTGCTGAGACTCACGGCTCCAATCCATGCCCCCTTCTCTGACTTGCTCAACCAGACAGACTACAGGAGCCCCGGCTTTGGCCATTGTCCATTGATCTTCCTTCCTTTCTTCTCTGTCTCTCTCTCCCTCTCTCTGCAGTACTGGGGATTAACCCTAGGGCCTTCAGACTGAGCCATACCATCACCCCTCTTTTAGTAATTTTTATTTTGAGACAGGGTCTCACTCCCTAGGCTGGGTTTGAACTTGTAGGGGAAGAAGTTAAGTGAGGTCTCAAAAAGGCACAAATAAATAATATTTAAAAATATCATGCTGCCGGGTGTGGTGGCGCAGGCCTATAATCCCAGCACTCGGGAGGCTGAGGCAGGAGGATCGCTGTGAGTTCGAGACCAGTCTGGGCTACATAGTGAGTTCCGGGTCACTCTCCACTACATAGTGAGACCCTGTCTCAAACCTCCCCCCCCACAAAAAAAAAATCATGCTGGGGAATGTAAATCAAAACTGTGGGGTTGACCTGGAAGGGTTTATCTCCCTTCTTGGCTTCTCCCTCTCTCTGCTTCCTGTTGACAACTATGGACTGAAACAGCAGCCCAAATAAACCTCTCCTCCTTTAAGGTGTGGGTGCCAGAGAGCTCATCCCAGAAGTGAGAAAAGTGAGTATGACAACGATTCTGGAAAAGGGATAACATGTCGCTATCTGTGACAACACGGTCAGACTGGGGACCATTGCATTAAACGAAGTCAGCCAGGCCTGGGGCAAGTACTGTACAGTCTCACTCGTGCATGGAATCTAAAACCGTTCATCTCGTGGAAGTTGAGAGTAGGAAGATGGTTACCAGGGCCCGGGGAGGGTGTGGGGGAGCTGAGTTGCAGTCAGACAGGAGCAAGGGGTTCTCCCGTGTGCTGCTGCTGTACATCCTGGTGACTATGATGCCGGTGTAATGTTTAGTTCAAAAATATATGAATGAACTAGGAGCGCATTCAATGCGTCACTTCCGGTGTGGCGCAAGTTCTTCCGGGGCAGGAGATGTCTGCATGCAAAGCACTGCTGGGAGGTGTCGGTTTGTGCAGAGAAGCTGCTTCCTTCCCCGGCTCTCTGCGAGAGCCCAGGACAGGGTCACAGAGAAGCATCAGTCCTGGGGACAAGAAGGGCCTTCCAGGAGTGTGCATTTCACAGCCTGCCCTCCTGGTCAGGAGGGGACAGAGAGCGCTGATGTGTCGCATTTGCAGTTTGCTGTGAATATCTCTGCTGTGGCCCTTTGTGGCTGGCTTTGACGTGGTGTCGCCAAGGCTTGGGGCTGCTGACCCGGGGAAGGAGCAGCACCGAGGCATGCAGGGGAGGTCTGGGATCACTGGCCCTCGTCCCTCCCACTGTGGACCCAGAAGCG